GTTCGCCGACATCGGTGGTCAAATACAGAAAGTCGATTAGCATCCTCAGCGCGGAGAGGCCAGGTCTCGCAACCGTAAAGTAGAACACTACGAACTGCGGCGATGTACACCCTTCCCTTAAAAAATAGTCGGATGTCATGGCGGCGCCACAGGGGTCGTAGGTTGGCGGAAGCTGCTCTAGCTTTCGCTATTCGTGATGTGAGCTCCTCCCCAACACCACCACCAGCTGCGATCAAGCTCCCGAGGTACTTCAAGTTCTCAACTACTTTTAGCTGGTCACCATAGAGGGTGAGTGCAGGCACGGGCTCCTGCCAGTCTTAAACAAGCACTTTGCACTTTGAAGGTGCAAAGCACATACCATACCTGGATACCTTGATCGCCAAGCGATTCAAAGCCTCTGGGACTGCCTGTGTGTTGTCACCCAGCAAGGCGATGTCATCGGCCTATTCCAAATCAAGAACTCTATTTTCTGAGAGGAGTTCGACTCCACCGTTTGCTAGATTGGAGAAAGCATTCTGTAGAGCATCCCCTATGACTAATAATACGAAAGTCTATACTTCTGATCCATTACTGTATTGCGTTTTATCCATTCACTGAAGTTGTCTACATAACGTTTGTGTTATGTGTGTTACAGAACCCTGATGGACGATTAACTACAGTATGTCTTACGTGAAGGCTACCTGCTCTTGTCTGGAATTAGCCATTGAAGGAGAGCGACTCTGTCGTGCTGGCGAGCTTCAAGATGGTATCTCTTGTTTTCATTCCGCATTGTCTCGTGGTACTACTGATTTGCGGTGTCTCTCGGCCATTTATTGTCAACTTGGCAACGCATATTTCTGGAGAGAAAACTATGCAGACGCTCTTGAGTACCATAGACTGGATCTCGCTCTGGCACGGTTAGTTACCACATAACCCGCCATTATCGTTTACTTTTTAATGACCGTCTCGTTTCTGTCTGAGAGTGATTAAGTTCCCGTACCTTTGGATTATCTTTTTTTATAAGGGTAACATGTTTCTGCCCAACAGTAGCAAGCCAATCATTTTCTAGTATGTGGTAAGTTTTGCGTCCTATAGACGGCACTCCAATATACAGTCTTCTCCATGCTTGGAAAGGTGGATAGAACACTTCGTATCGCAGTTCAATCACTCTCCCGCGCTGGCTACCACATATATATCCCTGGATATTGGCTTTCCGTCCTCTCACTTTGGTAGGAAAATACCTTCTCCACTAGAAGGTAGGGGATAGGGCTTCCTCAGCGGAAGTTGTTTGAGACGCTTGATCGCATGAGAGCATTTCGTGAGGTGCAAGGGAGAAGTGACCAGCCACAAACCGGGACACCCACCCCCCGGCTATGCTGAATCTTTCGTAGGCAGCTACTCCAAGTAGTTCTCTTGAGTGTGCCTTGAACGTGACTCCGCCCATAGGAGCGGAGATCCAAAAATAGTTCCAGGTCCTGAAAGGCCACAAGGTGACTGAATCAGAAAACCTGCCACTGCCCGTTGTAAAAGGTGGTGGGGTAGCTCTTTTGAGAGAGCTCGCCCCATCATTTTTGAATATCTTGCAAGGCTAAACTGTACCCTCTAAATGAGGAGAATCGATTGCTACACCCATATACCAGAAGAACTGTCCCAACGCTGTTTTAACCACAGGAGTTTACTTCTGATTTCAATAGCGTCGAAGCTGTTAGTGTCCGCTTTATTACGCAGACTAAACTCAATATGTGACGGGCAAATCTGCCAAAAAATAGACCGGATTCCGTGCATCCCCTGGTTGCATAGATCAAATCTTCACCATTTATGGGCTACTGGAACACCACCACACGAGCGATAGACTATGGTTGTGTTGTTGGACATCAGTGCGGCCTTTGACTCCGTCGCTCACCTTACCCTGTGGATTTGTGTGTTGAGATATAAAACTATGTTCTTATTCTAAAAGCATTCTACCGTCGGTGGCAGCGCACCGACCACCCAAGAGGCTGAATCACTTAATAATTCAGGTTACTCAGTATGGTATGTCGTTTGCACCCTCAAAGTGCAAGGTGTTTCTGCAACATCTACAAGGAATCTCTTCCTCCACTTCGGTTAAATACTGCCGACCTGGAAGTAGTCGAGAGCTTTGTCTACTTTAGGGTTCGTATAACGACTGGCGGAGTTGTAGGTGAGGAGATCTCCCAAAGCGTAAACAAAGAAATGTTGGCGTTCGCGAATCTGCGACATCTCTGGCGCCTGCGCAACACACCGAAAGGGTATGTACTGCGCAGAGGTACTTGCCGCGTTGCTCTACCGCTGCAAAACTTGGCCTGAGAGGAGATCATGTTTAACGACTAGCTGCCTTCGTCAACCGTTGTATGCGCAACGTCGCCCACGTATAGTCATCATTGTGCAGCGTGATGCAGTGAAGCGAACTTCACTGATCGAGGCCAAGCTCACAATGTAGTCAAGTCAAGTATTTGCTTTATGCAAAGCTCACAATGTGTACAAGGTATGTGGGAATGTGTAAGGAGGATAGGGATTGGGCCTACTTTTAGGTATGTGGAAAAGAAGGCGGACCTCAATGGTTAACATAGGGTACACAGTCTAACTATGCACACACACGTTTTCAAAACTTCTGGTCTGATAAAAGGTGAGAGGAAGATCGCCACTTCTGTCAGTTTTCTGCCGTGACCTTCACTGTCTCCAACCATTCGGTTACGGAGTCTTTTGGACTTCGATCCGGAAGACTAGAGATGCTGCGTATAGTGAGAGCGTCGCGTGAAACAGATGAGGTCAGATGACTTGTGTTGCGGTCAGATAGTCTTCCACTAAGCGAGACTATTTCACTGCACCGTCTGAAGTGTTTCGGGCACGTGCTACGAATGCCTGAACAATGTCTGCCTTACCGTGCGTTATTTGCAGACGCTGGGTTGGAAGAAACAGCAGTTTGGATAATCTGTGGTGTGGTGTAGACGGCTAGGGAAATTGTGTTTAGATCCGGCTCCCAGGATGGGTTCCAAAGATTCAGATTGTCATTGGCTGGAGATATTGCGGACGATTTCATCGAACCGAAGTCGGTGGTGTGAATGCGCCCTTGCATATCTTGCATATCTAAAAAAGTGAAGTAAAACAAAAACTATAACACAACTCATCTATGGGAGCTTGCTGCGAGTATCGGTCCTCGCTCATCTCAACACTCCAGAGTTATGACTCGGTTGGAACCTTCCACAACCTGAATATTTTTTGTATAAGAGTAATGGAGTATTTGATTTGTTTATGTGCTGCATTCATCTTGTAAATGAGACTAGTACTGAGATGAGCGAGGACCGTTACTCGCAACAAGCTCGCATAGATGGGGTCGGCTATATTGTGTATATTCAAAATGAGAATAGGTCTGATCAACTGCCCAATGGTCGAGTGGGTAGTATGCTTGCAGTCTAACTGTGAGGTCTCAGGTTTAATCCCAAGCTGGGTCGATGGATTCCCACTGCCAATGAGGCCCAACCAGGTCGAAACAGCTGTCCAGTGCTTCCCAGCTTTTCAGCATACTCCTCATTTACACGGCGAATTCCTCATAGAAACAAAAATGTCTGTTGCTTGCAGTAAACAAGCAAAAAGGTCCTTAAGCACTGCCCAAAACTGTTGTTTAGTGGTTTGAACAGAGAAGTCAGAAACATGGGTTTGCACAATGTACCTTGGTTATTTCGCTGCATCTGTACACGTGCACACTGCAGTCAAAGTGATTTTTATAGTCAGTCAGATAATAAATGTGAGACGAGGACAAGATCGCTAATTACAACGGACAACACGACACAACAACACAAAAAACGGGGACGAGAGAGTTTAGGGTGTCAATCACCAGGGCAAAGTTAATGTGACTAACCATTCACGTTGTTTGCATAGATCGGATTTGAGAGTGGGAATGGCTAGAGCCTCGGCAAATTTCAGTACCTTTGTGTTTGCTGTGTTGTAGATAACCTGAAATGCGTGGGTTGGAGTGACAGTGTTTTCGTTCGAATAAGTCTCGCGCTATTGAAGATCTAAGTTTTTTCTAGTCATTCGACGACGTAGCAGTTACAAACTTGTCGTCCATGGCCTTCTTAAGCCACACTGGGATGTGTTCTGCCATTCGGTGATGTAACTGCCTCTCTGTCTTGTCTATGTAGATGGCCGAGCATCCACACTTGAATTGGTAAATACAATTTGATTTGGCGGAAAGGGGGGGGGCAATGGTTCTTTCACCGATGTCGTGGATATCCGGGTGGTAATGAAGATAATGACTGGGTCAACTGCATAATAGACCCGCTTGACGGCAGAGTTCAACCGCTTGCTAACGAGTTCACTCACGTCATTGCCTTTGTATGCTAACATCAAAAACGTTTTCTTTTTCGGGACAGTTATTGGGATGTCTACTTTTGGTGTCACTTTACTATGCTTGGCGATGAATGCACCTGGGTATCCATTTGCTTGTGGTGCTTCTTTTAAGACGTCACTTTCTTCGTTTAAACAGTCTTCTGTGCATATTTCACAAGATTGATGAAATAATGGGTGAACGAGCTCACTTTTGTATCGCATGAGGGCGAAGGTCGTTTATATATATATATTTCGCACACTTGTGACGCCAGACTGTGTGCCAAACAATTCATGGTTTAATAGTCTTTGTAAAACGGTTACATTTGCCTGAGTTGCTTGTGGGTCAAATACTGCCTGGTCAAGATGGGTGAATTTTCTGGATGAATCCACATCCGGATGCTTTGGCTGACCGAATCCTGACCCGTAAGACAGCGTTGCGGTATATGAAAATCGCCACTCATTGGCGGCCAGTTTCCAGTTCATCGGAACACACGCCCTTTGGATAGGGTCAAACGTTCAAGGTCCCCAATCGAGCCGGTGACTATGGCCACAACCGGGAAGATTTCTTTAGATCCTACGCCTCCTCTTGCCTCGTTTTTGGTCAACTCCCTTAGGTGAACTACCGGTGGTCCACCAATCCGGTTATAGC